TGCTGCTGGCCTGCTGGGTGGCCTTGGTCAAGTCACTGCCCCACTCTGTGCCTCGGTTTCCCTTTCTGCAAAATGGTCAAATGATGCGTTGTAGAGTGCTTTAACCTCCCCTGATGAAAGGTACTATCGCCAAGCTAGGTGCTATTGAGTCAAAGGAACAGCTCCATTAACTGGTAGTAGGTTGTTATCCCCTAGTGACCCAGTAACGAGGCCTGCTCTGATAGCAGGTGACACTGTCCCCAGCCCTGCGTTCATTTGGAGAATTTAAGATGTAACCAGAGTCAGAATGAGCTCTCCCCTGACATCTGGTGGTGAGCTGTGGAAAAGGACTTCAGGGGCTGATCTCGTTTGCATGGGCTCACCCACCCTGCCTAGCACGATGGGACTGCCTGCCCAAATGGTCACTTTGGCTGCTGTGGGATCCCCAGTCTCTTTGTTATTGGGGCAGAAGTAATAAAGCATTGTTATCCTGGTTATGTGAATTAAGGACTGTAGGACTGTACTTGGCATTTTATGACTGAGGAACTCACCCTCAACTCTCCAGCACTTGCTAGGCAAGGGATATGGGTTCCAAAGCTCAGTGACTGGAGAGAAGTTGGGGACAAGTTTGTTTCTTCCTTTTTTTTTTTATTAAAAAGGTGTTAGTTACACTTAGACTCTGTGCTTGTGAGAGGGGAAGTATTCCCTCTTAGAGGTGCCCAGGGCGGGTGGTATGTAATTGTCCTAGGTCTCTGAGTGGGGGCTTGAGCCAGTTTTGCATTGTGTTATTTAAAAGGAACCCCTAGATACTGAACCTGGCCTTTGATGCTGCTAAGTCTGATGGGCAGAAGGGTGATATAAATAAAAGACAAATGGAGGAATATTCCTCAGTGGCTGCTTAAATAAAACCTACTCTCTCTTGAGGAGTTTGTTGCACTCCCTGGAAGTAGAAGGTAAAACTTCAGAAGATCTGGAAGAGATCTGAACAGAGCAAGAACAGACACCACAGCCAAGCGTTATTGTAGAACATTTCAAGTGTCATGGCAGAGTGAGGAGGTGAAACCGTAGCTGTGTATGTGGCAGAGCTAAAACTATTAGCTGACTAGCGCTCGGTTGGAAATGTCCTATGTGCTGCAGGGCAGATTAGTAACACCACAAACCAATGAGGGAATTCAAAGCCGATTGCTGGCAGAAGGGGACGTTACCTGGCCCAAAGCAACAGACTGAGCAACAGCAATGGAAGCAGCAGTGAAAAAACGTACAAGCTTTGCACTTAAAATGCAGGGACAATCACAGTGACTCAGGTGCCTGAGATGTGTTTCCACATCAGTTTGTAACTTTAAAATGGCAGCATCTCAAGCCCCGGAGGGCAGGGACGGATTTACACCTTATGTGCCCCTAGGAACAGCATCTTCAGCCTCCGCCCTCCCTCCCCCCTGCCTACAGTTGACCGTGTTGCACACAGTTTTGGAGAGGTAAGGCGCCCCTAGAATTCCCGGTGCCCCTAGACATGTGCCAACTGTGCCTCTTTGGAAATCCAGCCCTGCCGGCAGGTAGACCCCAGTGGTACGTCTACACAGCATACTAAGCAGGGGCTCTGACTCAGGTTTAAGACCAAGCCCCACTTCTGTCCACACAGAAGTTAGTTTGACTCAGGCCTGCACAGCCTGCTAGGGTATAGGGTCAGAACCGAATTCCCACTGCGATGCAAGTCAGAGCCCAAACGCTTTGTAGTGTGGATGCAGCTCAGCTCCATGTCACCCAACTTGGGTGTGGAGAGTCTGCCAATTTCCAGACACTGCGCTTCCCAGACCCAATCTGAGAACTTGCCACTTGCTTCCCAGGAATCTTATGTAACATGGGGATACTGATAATGGCCTTATTTATAAAGGACTTTGAGACCTTCTGAGGAAATGAACTACAGAAGAGGTAGGTAGTCTTAGGGCGCAGGTCCAGCACAGGCTGGTCTGGCCCCTCTCCTCAACAAGGGGTCAGCTGCTGCTCTGGAGGTGAAAGTCTCTTGCTATCTCCTCAACCACCAGGCCTTGTAATGTCCTAGGGATGATGCCCCTCTGGGTTCCTGACCAGGACGTCGGTTATTCCTTCTCCTGAGAATCCACCCTTAAGATTGGAGACTGGCCACTTCCCAGGGCTTTGGGAGATGAGTCAGAGCTGCGGGACACCAGTGTGGTGCTGAGGTGGGCCAGCTACTGCTCTCATTTACCCGGGTGCAGGGCAGGAGTAACTCTACTGAATTCAATGGGGTTACGCCTGATTTTTCTGTGGAATAGTCCAGCTGCTGGGGGTGGTTCTAACAGGGTTCCCACGCCCAGGAAAGACACAGCCTGCTCCCTTCCCCAACCTTGAGGAGCAGAAATCAGCTGTTTGTAATGTACCAGCAGCTTCCTCTCCCATGCGAAGGCTGCAGTGTCTGGAGCTGGGCGGGAGCAGGGAGGTGTTTTTGACATGCAAGGCTCAGCTTTCCCTTCACGTTCTTCATTGCTGTGTAAGTGGGGTTGGACTGAGCTCCCCTCTGATGTGGAGAGATGAGCTGGGGGAACAGACTCCAGGAACAGACTGTGTTTCCGGAAGCACCTACTGTGCCTAGGAACTCAGCGGAGGGAACTGCTTTGCCAAAGTGATCCCTTTTGGCGGGTATTGGGTTACAAATCACTTTAGTGGGGAGTGCAGGGGAATGGCATGTTGTCACCCTGACTGTGTGAGGAAAGGGCAGCAGAACTGTGCGTAGCCTGCCCTGATTGACGCTCACTCGCTACGCAGGGGGGTGGGGATGACAAATCCCGTGACAGTGAGAGAGAAAGAGGGTCTGAAGAGGTGTCTGTACCAGGGGTGTGGGCTCTGCCTAAAGAGTCCTAGATGCCATTTGACCCTCTCCCTCGCCACTGTGTAAAGGCAGAGCTGATCAGACACACTGGAGAGTCCTTGTTTTGTTAAGTGATCGCTAGAGCTGAAATCACTGAGAACCAGGTCTAGACGCTGAGCCTTAGGGCACGTCTACACTTAAGAGGCTTCATCAGTACAGCTGCAGCGGGGCAACTGTGCCACTGTGGCGCCTTAATGGAGACGCTCTAAGCTGATGGGAGAGAGCTTCTCCCATCGGTGTAGTTAATCCACCTCTCTGAGGGGCGGCAGCGGTGTCAATGGTAGAGTCTCTCCTGACAACACAGCAGTGTCTACACAGGGGTTCAGGTTGGTATAACTACGTCACACAGGAGGAGGGTGTGTGTGGATTTTTCACCCCTGTAAGTAACATAGTTATAGCGATAGAGGTCTGTAGGTCAGACCAAACCTCAGTTGTATACGTGGTGGTGGCAGAAGCAGCCAAGGCATTTCTCGACGCCATCTCCCCACCTCCCACCCATCCAGGAGGAGTTGAACTCACATGAACGCTCTGAACTCTGGGCCTTCGCCAACCAAAGACAGCAACTGTGAGTGGGGTGCTTTAAAAGGTGGAAGGTTTGGTGAGTGGGGTGCAGGGGAGGCAAAGGTAGGTTCAAGGAGAATTTGTTGGACTTTCACACCACAAGGGGAGAAACTGAGGCAAAGGACACTGCCCAGTATATTCTGGGGTAGGAGTTTGCTCGTGGCTAAGGCTATGATTATATCACGGAGGTCACAGACATGAGGCCTTTCCCCTCCAATTAGCTCTGTCCCCCAATAATCCCCACCCTAGAACTGACCAGGGGGCAGGTAGCTCCCTAGCCTGATGGGGGACGAAGGCCACGGGGCACCCGCCCCCCGGATGCATATGCTGGACCCTACCTGGTGAGGCCCCGCTGCCCGGGCCCGTCTCCTCCCTGAGGGGCTCGGCCACGATGCTTATCTTCTTGATGCTGTGGAAGGGGATGGTGTGGGGTGTGGCGGCGTGTATGGGAAGGCCGTCTCCACCACCAAGCGTCCCCGGCTCCCCTGCGGCTGGTGGCAGGGGACCTCTGCAGTTGCCCAGCCATGGCAGGAAGAGTGGGGCAGTGGGGGACCCTAGACATCCCACTTGCCACAGGTGGCAGGGAACCGGAGCTCCCTGCGGCCGTAGGCGGTGGGACCCCCCCACAACTACTTA